ACTATACATGATACGGATAAGGATGGGAAATCTAGAATAAAGCAAACTAATGAGCTTAGATTCATAGACTCCGTACAGTTTCTGTTATGTTCCCTGAACAATTTAGCTATTGCGAACAATCCTGATCATTTTGCAATAGCAAATCAATATACTGATCGGTTAACCCGTCATTTGTTGTTGCGAAAAGGTGTATATCCTTACGAATATATGGATGATTGGTCTAGATTCGAGGAAACTAAATAACCACCCCTTGAATCATTCTATAATAACTTAACATAATCTAAAATAACCGATGCCGATTATGAACAGCTCTGACGGTGTGGGTTGTATGAATTTAGGTGATTATCACGATCTGTACTTAAAAACCGATGTAATGTTACTCGCCGATATATTCAAGATATCTAGAAAGACATGTTTAAAACAATACGGCTTGGACCCGGCATGGTACTATTCCAGTCCCGGACTATTGTGGAATGCATTGTTGAAGAAGACCGGTGTAGAACTAAAATTACTCACCGATTACAATATGCACTTGTTTATTGAGAAAGGATTAAGAGGTGGTATATCGATGGCAGCGAAAAGGTATTCTAAGGCTAATAATGAATTAGTGGAAGGATATGATCCGAGTAAACCCGATACGTACATATTATATCTCAACGCCAACAATTTGTATGGATGGGCTATGAGTCAACCTTTACCCACGAGTGGTTTGAGTGGATCGAAGTGAATGATATTGATGTGAATAGTATCCATAATATCCATAATAACAATGTGAATAAAGGGTACATAATAGAAGTTGACTTGGAATATCCAACAGATTTACACAAAGACCATAACAGTTATCCGCTAGCTCCCGAAAGATTAATGGTTAATAAAGATTGGATGTCGGAATATCAACACTCCTTGATGGGTAATACTAAGTTAGCTAACGTAGAAAAACTCGTACTAAATTTGATGGATAAGACAAAATATATAGTTAACTACAGAAATCTCCAGTTATATCTATCGATAGGTATGAACCTAAAGAAAATACACAGAGTTCTTAAGTTCGATCAAAGCCCTTAGATGGAGCCCTATATAAGGCTGAACACAGAATTAAGAAAGATGGCTACCAGCGATTTTGAAAAGAACCTATATAGCTAAGTATTTGGTAAAACTATGGAGAATCTAAGGAAGCGTGTTGATGTTAAATTGGTCAGATCTAATAAGGAAGAAAAACTCAGGAAACTTATAATCAGTCCGGCTTTTAACGGAAGCAAGATATTTGATAACGAAATAGCGGCGCTGCATATGCAGAAGAGTAATATAAAGTTCAACATGTTGGTATGAGTATTCTTGACTTGTCAAAACACTTAATGTATGACTTTTATTACAACGAACTTAAGAAGCAATACGGCAATAGATGTGAGGTGTTATACCGACACAAATTCTTTGTTGATGGAAATACAAACCGAGGATGTGGCAGAAAAAATAGATATGTATGACACAAGCGATAACCCAAAAGATTGTCCACTGCACAGCATAGTAAATAAAAAGGTCTTAGGTAAGATGAAGGATGAATGTGCTGGGACCCCTATAGCGGAGTATGTCGGATTAAGACCTAAAATGTATTCTATAAAGAAGTCCGATAATTGGGAGATAAGTAAAGCTAAGGGCGTTAAGAAGTATGTGGTAAAAAAGCATATCAAACACGAACAGTATAAAGAAGCATTATTCAATGGTCAAACATTCAAACACGAGATGAACTCTTTAAGAAGTGTCAATCATAGGATATATGGATTAAGAATGAACAAGACATCATTATCCCCCTTAGATACAAAGAGATGGATTGATAAGGATGGTGTAACTATCTATGGTTATGGTGGTAATACTGTATCGTTGGGAACTATGAGCAACTCTTCTCATACAAATGCCCTGCCCGGTCACCTTTAAGATAATAAAGAATAGGCTCTCCTTCTTTCATAACCAACCGACTAATGTTATATGACTTCAGGGACCAAATCGGATCAGTTGTGCGACGTTGGCCTCCTTCGAGTTCACCGGGCTGGTATAAATATCTACGCTAACTCTATCTAGAAGGTTTTATACGGCACTGATATACTGATTCGATTTCATTTCAATCCCATACTGATAGCCCAACAAAAGTTCCGCTAATGTCTGGTTAAATCTTTCAACGATACCTTGACTACGGTGGGCCTCTTTTTCATCATGCCTGATTATGACATCGTGCTTTGCTAACAGTACTGTGACATTATAAAGCTGTATATAGGTAGATACAATACTAAGCTTCAGATGTAAACACATTTGATGATACATCTGTGTGTTTAAAGTTGATTTTGACAGCCAGGTCCAAGTCGGACCCAACACAAGCCAAACACTTCTGATAGAAACTATGTTGAGAATGTAGAGTGAAAAGGACTTCACTTTATATAGAACAGAACGATCTTTGTGATTAAATAGCTTGCGTGTGGTTTGTTTGGAAGCATAAATTCAACTAACAAACCCCTATCATGTAATTATATTTTCCTGAATAACACGTTGTTTGCATGTAAAATAAATGTCCCTGTTCATGTAGAAAGTCAATAAGCGAAATAAAACTGAGTAACAGACTGTGTATTATAGATCCATAGAAATACGATTGCATAGACGATCAATTCAGAATACAACAGGTGTGAAGTGTGGCTAATTGAAATGTATCTCGATGACTAAATGAAATGTATTTCGCAGGTAATAATCAATAAACAATGTGACAACAACAAGTGAAGGATTGGCAACAGCTGATTGAGTTGAATTTTAGTTTTGCGAAAAAACTCCGTGGTTTCTGTGGATGAAACTAAGTTTGACAATGTTACAAATGATCACTTTCTTTGTCTTCATTACGGATTCCTCATCCTGTATCGAGGAGAATTGTTTACAGTTAAGTAAAATTCTAATTAAGATTTCTTAAATCTGTCACGGTGGCAAATTCAAACTTTGATATCATGGTACACAGTTCTATTGTAAAGTCAGATTGGGACCGAATCCGAGTTCAAGATGGCGCTATGTATTTTTATCTCGAATTTGAAAAAAGCGGTTAAATTTATATGCTTTGTTTGTCTGTTTTGTTGTTTAATGCCTCACTCAGCAATATGCCAGCTATATGACGGAGGTCATGCAAAAAAATCAAGTCTGGATCATGAGCATCAATCCACACAATTGAGATAAGATGACATGCATCCAATCAACCAAGTCAGCAAGCCTGACAACCAACCTGATCCCATTAGTCACCTCTGACGAGAACCATAGTCACCTTTTAATGTAAGCGTTGGTTGCTGAAGATCTGTTCTAACCCTGATCTTCACAGGTCCAAATCTATATGTATTTTTATGGTGAGGTGGTCGTGATCGGAGAATAGGTTCGAGAGTTCGGCACACACATTCGTGGTAAATATCTCTCATGTTGTGCCTGATAGGGACTTTGTGATGTTTTGAAGAAATGTCATCACTGTCAGGCTTTTGATGGTAAACAAAGGTTAAGCTTTACCTCGAACATGCTACTTCCGGTCACAAAATATATGCTTTACTGCTTTTCTTCTGATTTTCGTATTAATAACATTACAACATTTCTCAAAGTTTCAGACTCCAAGGATTTATTAAAGTGTATTTTAAGCACCTGAAATTGACAACTCACACTCCCTCACTCACCTAACGATTTATACTAAAAATAGATACGAAAACTTTACTGAACCCGAGATTTGAATGACTGACAAATACGTACTTTCTTGTGTTCTCATACATAAAACAGCAGTGAAAACATGATCTAACATGGCTTACTGTGGAACGTGTCTAGGATTGTAAACTGTCCGTATTATTCCAAATTGTATGCATACACATGTACATGTCTTTATTTGGTTTTGTGTCTATACCTGCTAACATATGTGACAAGATACACCTTCCAGGATAGTGGGCGATGAAGACACTGACGTAAATTTCTAAAAAATGTCGAAACATTCACAAACAGACAGAATCATATGCTTTCTTAAAGTCAATCCAGCACATTGTTGTTGACGTTGTCGTTTTTGTCGTCTACGTCACCATTATCCTCCAAGGATAGTGGACGGTATGTACACTGACGTAAATGACACCAAACTAGGCATACATGTAAAAATGATTTGGAATATTTGGAAATGTGTGCATTTTAATTAATACAAACACTATTTTAAGCGCCAGGAAACGGGATTTTTCTTGTCATGAATGGCGAGTATAACAACTTGGGAAGCTAGCTTGACATTTCGTATATACGTAAGTACGGTCCTCATGCTGTATTTGCCTTGTTTCTCCCGATTCTCATTAGTTTCAAAAGAAACAGATAAATCAGTCATACAATGATTTCTTTGGATTTATCAAAAAGGACCTATCAGGTTTGTTCGCTTGGATACGTTTGACTCTGTATGTGGGCGTATTCCAAAGAATTGTATATGTAATTATCATTTTCTATGACGCCCTCTACATATTCTGCGTCGTACCATTGATGGTCTCGGAGTCAAAACCAAAAAGGTGCTGACGGTAACAAGAGGATCGAGCCATGCCTAAGATACCGTGTTTGTGTCAAGTTGGACATCCACTATGATACAAAATCACACATTGACGTTTTCTAGTGGGAAGTGACTGGTTCTGGGTCGATTTGATATGGCACTTAGCTTGGTTGACACTTATTTCTGTAACGTCCAGCACTCATCAACAAAATAAACATTAACATTGATATTCAGTACTACATCAATGGGTCGTTTGGGAAAATATATTGAATGACTTGTTTTCAGTCTTGATATGCTTCACAAGAGGATCTTCAGAGAAATAAATATGTGCAATAGTGCACGATAAAATTCAATCATGAAAGGCCTCCTTGTTATTCACTCCATGGTCTCCGACCTCATCATACCAAAAGACGTTAACATATGGTGATCATCATCATCATAAACAACTATCATCATCATTATCATTATAATGTTTATGTTCCCGTAGATGCTGATCCTCCTAAAGCTGTGTGTTTCAGTCTGGGTGCTAGTGTTGGATGCAGGAGCACAGGTCGACAGTAAGTAGCCTGCTATTATTTCTACTTTGGTGTGTTGTTTTTCTAGGTCTTTTTCGATCAGGTCACTGGGATGAGAACTAAACCATTTTAAAATTATCTATTTCTTAAATGGTATTTATGAGAAACTGGAATGTTAAAAGGTGTACACATACATATTTTATGTTATTATTAATAATTCTGAAGACTTACGTGTGAATATCAGACTCGAGGATAATTAAGAAAAAATAAACCTGGATGCTCTGTCACATTCCTGTCTTTTAGGCTTGACTGTATTAGATGGTGTATTAAGGAGCGCCTTAAAATCAAAATAAAATGCCAAAGTCCTACAACCTAGAAGACCGCATGTGACTTTATACCTTCAACTGAAAATAAAGTTGTATATTTAACTTTTAGGATAATAATCAGACGATGTTTTTTTTCTCAGTTTGTGGTAGTGAATCAGTGCTAGTTGCCAACTCAACGCCCCAGACACTCCAGAACACAGATGGGTTTTCTTCACAATGTACAGTACAAATCACCGTGCCAGCTGGTTCCTCTTTGAAACTTAATTTCACCAGACTAAGTGTCACGGAACTAGATATTGAGCTATTTGCGAATGGTGAGTTAAAACACAAACGTATCGTGAAAATTGCTTAACTTCAGCCTGCTTCTATAGTGCAGTGGGCAGAGAAGGGGTGTAGTGGGCGGGGTGCTCGCCTTGAGAGTTGTTCAATTGTTCAATCACCTGGCCGTGTCATACCAAACGATTTTTAAAGATGGCAACTCTGTTTCCCTTCCTGGATCCCGCCATACAGGGAATAACACAAGGACGGGTCGGCTCAGAGTCAGTGGATTGTGACCGAGTGAGGCTACCATGTTAAACTGGGGCATCTCAGTGGGCGAGCATAATAAAACCAGTATAATTCCAGGCTAGTACAAGCAGCCACACACACATGCAGAAACGTTGCTATATGAATGGAATAATCTTGAATGCGACGTTATAATTCATTTCCCCCGTGGGAACCCGGGGTCGAATAGAATGTGTCCTCAGCACCCCATTGCTGGTCGTAAGAGGCGACCGATTTGGGCAACTTGTTTGCCATGGGTTGCGCCCCTGTGTCGGTGGAGGAAGGGAGTCTGGTGGTTGAAGGCACTGGAGCCAGGAACAGGTGTTCCTTTTGCCCAACACTTCACTTTGATCCTTACTTCATCTAGACGAGTGGTAGAATGGGCCCTGTTCTATCAATCGGCTGGTCATACCGTGTCCTGTGCATGGTCAATTTCAATTTTGATTATATAAGTATATCACACAGTAAATGTGGTACATGTCAACCTTGCCTAGAGTCCTATGCCAGAAGGCAGTAGCGCATTGGCCAATCTGGCATTAATGACCTCCAGGTTCCAATTGTCTTCAAATGACTGTTAAAAGGCAGAACCAATCTGACTTTTATTCTGTTTGACATTATAAGCTACCTATGTTGATATAGCTTGCGTATAGCACGCCTGTAGCCCTATAGTGTATGTTAACATTCCATGCTGGGTGGGGTGTAGGGTTGTCAAATCTGTTTTCTTTCATCATGGCTTCCTAACAAATCTCTGGTTCTCGTTACAAAAGTAATTGAAGGCACGTTGACACAGATCTAGTTTCAACTTCTGATGATTTGCCAGTGCCACCATCGTTGGATCCAGGACTATCTCATCTAGATTACCAGATAACTGTTCAATTTTACAGCAGAAACGATTCTATTTCAACAGCACTAAAATATATTAACAACCAAACTAAACATTAACAGTTAATCAGTTTTTCAGATTCTCAATTTTGTCTTCCACACATGTTCTGTTTGACTATAGATTTATCCATCACAAGGGATAACTATTTCAAGACATCATATATACACATGCACAAAAGTTAAGCGCCACCATATTCATAATCTCTTGATTTCACGTGTGGGAATCAGAAATACGAAATATGATGATGTATGACTGAATTAGGCTTCAATAGTTTCATGAAACCATATTTGTCCAGCGTGCTTTACGTGTTGCTGCAGTTCCCCTGCCCTATAAAAAGTGAAATTCAAGTTTCAGACACGTGGTTGCATTTTGCTCCTGTGTGAGATTCCCCTTCCAATAGAGGTTGAAAATCAGCCACAGTGAGGAGAAAGTTAACAAACGCTGAAAGATGGCAAGTGATAGGCATGAATAATGCTTGCATGTCATGCAGGGCCATTGCAAGACGAATGGGTCGTCATCACAGTGTTATCACTCGTTTGATTGTCAAACATGGTCAAACCAATAACGTCAATGACAGGCTTAGGTCTGGTAGGCCACGAAAGTCCTCTAACAGAGAGGATAGACGTCTTTTCAGGATAGTCAGACGAAATCCGTTTGACACTTCAACAGATTTAAGACTGCAGTGGATTACCCATCAGAGACTCTCGACGATGACCGTAAGGCGTTATAACGCCAGAAGACCAGTAAAACGTCCTCAACTGACTGAGAGGCACATGCGGAATCGTCTGATATGGTAATGTGCCCGTTAACACTCGTTTTGCACCAAGGAACATCCAGAAGACCTTAGCATGTGGCGGGGGGTCTGTCATGATATGGGGTTGTGTTTCCTTTGGCTGCAAACTTCCGCTGGTGACAATTCGTGGAAGCCTGAATGGCCAACAATACCAAGATGCCGTTATTCGTCCAGCGGTAGTCCCTCATTTTGACAACAATTTTCTTCAGACAAGACCTGTTTACATGGACGACATTGCTAGACCAAACAGATCTCCGGCAGTTTTGGCTTATTTGCGTCAAGAAGCTATTGCCACTCTTCCTTTGCCGGCCTGTAGTCCGGATCTTTATCCGATTGAGCATCTCTGGGACATTCTTGGCCGGAAAATCAGACATCATGATCCCCCAGTTCAAAATCTCGCTGGACTTGAAGCCGGACTTCATGAAGAATGGATCCGTTTGCCTCAGAGAAGCATTCAGCTACTTGCAATGAGTATGAGTCGTAGGGTTGAAGCTGTGGTCAATGTCGATGGATCACACACACGTTACTGACGTTTCTGTCGTGCAATAGACTATGCACCCCCTAGGGTGTCTATGTGACACCTGATATGGTCTGCTGATATCATGACAGTTACATGACAAAAAAAGTTCTTCAATGTTTTCTAATCCTTCAATTTCTGGTCTTCGGTAAAATTCCTTTCTGCTCATATTCGTTTGGAACACAAGATAGACTTGCTTTGGGACAACTTTTGCATTACATGAGGTTTACATATACGGCTTATAACAATCGTACATCTCGCTATAATAGTCATCATTAAGTGTCAAAAGTAAAAGCTCACAAATATGGTGGGTGGCGCTTAACTTGTGTGCATGTGTATAATAAGAATCTCCATAACCCAAGTAAGGTGATCTACCTTGAACTGTTATCGATCTATTTTTAAGGTTATATACAGTGATGTCCATTTTATGATTCCATACTAGTTGTAAATCTTTTTCTGTGATACGTCCAGTTATTTTACTGTCCTTTGTGGGGCGGTCGGGGGGTAGCCTATTGGTTAAAACGTTCGCTCGTCACGCCGAAGACCCGGGTTTGATTCCCGACATTGGTACAATGTGTGAAGCCTATTTCTCGTTTCCCCCGCCGTGATATTGCTGGAATATTGCTAAAAGCCGCGTACTCACTCACTTACTCATTCACTACTGTCCTTTTTTGGCAGGTTTAAATATAAGCCTCAATGTATTTATTGTGTTTCACCCTTGATAGTCACCATATGGATGAATGTTGACGATGTGATTTAAAATATATCTCACCCTCTCATTAGAAATCATTTCATTTCAACTAATTAAGGGGCATTATTGTTGGCCAATGAGGTTCCAGGGACCGATTACTATATCCCCAGTAATATATACATGGTTGTCGACTAAAACTAACCGGGAGGCTCTGTTGTTATAAAATGCTGCTTAAACAGCTCCACATCGGATTGAGTACGCTTCACTCATGTTTCATTGCTGTGTAATTTTGTATTCGTATTCTTGTCATTTTCTCTGTCACCACTGTGATTTAGGTGAATATACAAAGCTGCGAGTGAATGATGATGTCAGACAACATTAATCAATATAAAATTATGCAAATTATCCCTACAAAACAGCCGTGCCATTGAGATAGTTTGTGCTCGATTTTAAGTATTGTTCATTCTTGTATAGATTCGTCAGCCAACAGCCCGAGCTTTGCAGACGTCATCAAAAATGCGGAAGACGGCAGAAGCGCACCCATCTACGTTTACCATGGATCTGTCTACATCAGAGTTTATTTCCACTCCACAATTTCGACATTTGTCATGACGTATCAAGAGGTAGACTTCGAAGAGAACAGTAAGTCGTAGCCATAATGTTTAGTATTTGGGAAACTGGGGGCCCATTTGTATAAGGTTGTGCATTTGACAGGATCCGCTGATCACAGACAAAAGGAGATTCACCTGATTATGTTTAAACCTTTGTTGTGTTCATTGTAATTCCTGCATTCTGATTAGCTGAAATGGTCACATGTTATAATTGTATTAATTTCCAAATGAATGTAAAAAAAAAAGCCATGCCCATCGAGGCGGACTACTTTCACCACTACGGAATATATGGGAATCCCAATTTTGCTGTTGATGGAATTACCTTTCTGCTCACCTGTATTATCATGCGCAGGGCTTGTGATCGAAATTCATGCATTCATCATCACGTCACGCCACAATATGTATTCCTACGCAGGACATTTTAATCAATCTCGTAATATTTTTGTGTCTGCTTTGATTAATATAACTGTTGGGTTTAATTAATTGGGTATGCATAACACATAATGTAATATCGAACCTTTTCATTAGGATTGATTCTTTTCGGTCCGTTTTGAGGTATGACTAAGATTACCGATGTGCACACTTTTGCAAGAATCCACTGTGCCCCAATGAACCGAAAAAACACACAGTTAATTATTGAGTAATCACTCTACTATCAGCACCCAACTAGGGCTCTTGTGCGTCCCCAATTTGTCAACCTGCATCAATTCCGGCTTTTTCTCTTCACTCACCCATTCTCTCACGTTAACAAGGATATATAACCCCAAAACGAGGTCCGTCAGAAAATTGTTTTCACAACATGTTAACTTAAAATGGGAACTTGAAACAGGTTAAAGGTGTGGTGTTTTTAATCCAGAGTAACAAGCTAGAGTAGCTCAATGATCTTAGGGGAGGGGATGTGGTCATTATTTTGCATGAAAGACATCATACCCAATATATGGATACGATAGGGGTTTTCTTACAGTTTTTTTTAAAGTTATCAGAAGAATTAGTGAAGTATCTTTTTATCTTGTTGTATGTGATGACAAGAGAATAATCACCAATAAGTCATACTCTCCTGTCATACTTCTCCATGGATGATTTCAGTCAAACTCATGTAAAAGAAACACTCAAAACCATTTTCTTTCCAGCCAAAACATAGGCTACAAAATAGAACATTTTTAATGTTTTTTCAGCGTGGGTTAAGTCAGTGCGTGATGTTGTCATTGGTAGAATGCTCAAACCTAAAAAGAGGAAGCGGAATTGGAATAAAGCCTGTCCCAAATCTGTCTACCCTACAAGAACAGTCAGGCTGGTTTTGTTCTTAATCAGCCCAGGGCCCTTGTCTCCTCTACACGCTGCCCAGACAGTGAATGGGACCGCTCCAAGGAAGCGCTACCTACTCGAACTCACCGAGAACGTTTCGGAGAATGTGAAGACTCCCAAACACTGCAGCATTCTGCATTACCCAGATTGGCAGAAGGCCTGTATTCCTGGCAGAAAATCCATGTACTCACCCAATGTCAGATAACAGATTGGGAGGTACCAAACCTAAAGCACCGAGAACAATGGGGAGTCGGACAGCTTGGTACTTGGGATGCGAGCGTGACATTTCGAAAGTCCGCATATTTGCCATGTTTTTCCTCAATCTTGTCAATACATTAGCGTCAAAAGGGACAGAAAATTCAATGATATAAATGATTACATTGGATTTATCAAAAAGGACGAGATCAGGTTTGTTGGACTGGATACGGGCCTATTCCTAAGAATTTTGTATTTATCATTTTCCATGACGCCCTCTATATTTTCTTGGCCGAACCGCTGATTGACCTCTGTGTCAAAACCACAAGCATGGCGAAGACGGTAATACAATGATCGAGCCACTGCATCATGTCGCTTAAGATACTGTTTTTGTGCCAAAGCTTGGCATCCACTGACAATGTGTTTGACAGTCTCATTAATTTCATTACAAAATCTACATTTCACACCAACATTTTGATGCAAAATCCTATATTGACGGTTTCGAGTGGAAGTGACCGATCTTGAGCAGCAAACGGAAAGGCTTTTGTTTCATTTTTCAGGCCAGACGACTTCATTCATGCGAAGTACTCTTCAGGGTTGCTGATTTTCTCAACACACAGCACATAAACTCGATGCAGTGCTCGTTCTGATAGCCTCTCCTTGAAAAAACGGAGTCTGGGCCGATTTATATGGCACTTCACTTGGTTTACACCCATTTCTGTACCGTCAAGCAGTACAGAAGCATTAACAAAATCAACATTGACATTGAGATTATGTCCCACATCTTTGGCTCGTTTACGAAAACTGTGGAATGCCTTGTTTTCATAATTAGTCTTGACATGCTTCACAAGAGGATCATGAGGCAAATAGATGTGTGCAAAAGTGCACAAAACCATTCTATCCTGAAGAGCCTCAACGTTAATCAAACCACGCCCTGCCATTACAATTGGTAAATATAAGCGATTGAGGGAAGAGTGAGGGGTAGTTTGATCTATTGTCTGACATGATCCTTCGTGTGAGAGTGTCAATACTGTCAATATTCTTGTTTCGTCCAATCAACAACACCAACAGGATATGGGGTACAGCAAAAGTATTTGTGGCTTTTCTTCTGGCTCCAGATTTTCTTGAGTCTACATTTGTACTCTGCCCCAAGTTTTTTCTTGATACAGGCATTCTGGAGTTTGTCCCTATTCTGCTTCCCTAAGTACGTATACGTGACCTTTCACGAGATGGTCAATAAATCCCCCCCCCCCCCCCCCCCCCCCCCCTCACCCCACACCCAACACCCCTTCCCCCAGGTATACTGACTGATCTTAACATTTCTACTTTGCCACGTTCCAAATGGAGAATGTTGCATTTGTCGAGTCCAAAGGACATGCCGATATCATTAGAAAAGGACTCGACAATCAGAATCAATGAGGCGAAGGTGCCATGTCTGCATCAATGCATGAAGTGGACACACTCGCTACTGACCATGGGAACTTGCTTGTGAACCCCCTCTTGTGTTGTGGCTCGTTTGCATATGCCAGGTGCCCTGTTCTTATGGACTGTTGATTGTTACCACACCTTGAGACATTTGGGTAAGCTTTATGTATGAACTACCCGATAAATTGCACGACTGGTCGACAAAGCTACAATCAAAAACAAAATGCCCAATTGTTCTCGAGAAGTATAGTGTAGTTTCACCTTGAATTGGCTATTGTAATGGCCAGTGCTTGATACAAATGAGCATTACTGATAAGGGACAGACGAAAGTATCTATCTTACCTGAGTGCTGTAGGCTGAGTGCACTGATTATTCTCTGGCGTTGATGTCTTGAATCATATTGATTGCCAGGGTAATAAAACCCGATGCAAATGAAAGTGTATCACTTTCATGACTACATTACTATGTGTGCCATATGTCTGTTGCAGTCTGTACTCTACCGAGTCTGGTTTTTGCTGACACCACTGTCCAGGAAGTTGTGACGCCCAACTTCAGGAACGGTCCATATTTTGACAATGTCGATTGCGAAGTCGTGATCGAAAGTAACATCACTGGTGCGAGGGAAGTAAAGGTTGAGGTTACGTCTTTCGATATGGAGTGTTGTTGTGACGATGTACGAATATGTGACGGTAAGTATATAGAGATTATCACGCGAGTGTTTTGGGGGATGGAAACTATACTTCATTAGGAATATGCATTCTATTTAGCGAGCCTTGGTGAGCTAAATACATAGCGTTTATTCTTTATACCTAGGGATTACCAGAGATGAAAGTAATACAGAGGGTATTCCCAGAGATGGAAGTAAGACGGAGGGTATCCCCTGAGATAGAAGTAAAACAGAGGGTATCCCTACAGATTAAGATAAGACAGAGGTTATCCAATGAGATGAAGGCGACGGAGGGTATCCCCTGGTATGGAAATAACACAGAGGGTATCCCCTGAAAAGGGAGTAAGACGGAGGGTATCCCCTAATATGAAGGGAAGACAGAGGGTACCCCCTTAGATGGGGGTAAGATGGAGGGTATCCCCTGAGATGCAGGTAAGACGGAGGGCCTCCATAGAGATGAAGGTAAGACAGAGGGTATCCCCAGAGAAGAAAATAAGACAGCAGGTATCCCTTGAGATGGAAGTAAAGGCAGATGATATCCACAGAGATGGAAATAAGACAGAGCGTATCCTCAGAGATGAAAGTAATACGGAGGGTATCCCCTGAGATAGAAGTAAAACAGAGGTATCCCTACAGATTTCAATGAGACACATGGTATCCCCTGAGATAGGAGTAAGACAGAGGGTATCTCCTGAGATGGGAGTAAGACGGAGGGTATCCCCTGAGATGGGAGTAAGACAGAGGTTATCCCCTGAGATGGAAGTGAGACAAAGGTTATCCCCTGAGATTGGAGTAAGACAGAGGGTATCCCTTTGAGATGGGAGTAAGAGAGAGGGTATCCCCTTGGATGGGAGTAAGAGAGAGGGTATCCCCTTGGATGGGAGTAAGACAGAGGGTATCCCCTGAGATGGGAGTAAGACGGAGGGTATCCCCTGAGATGGGAGTAAGACAGAGGTTATCCCCTGAGATGGAAGTGAGACAAAGGTATACCCTACGTATGAAGTAAGACAGAGGGTATCCCTGAGATGGAAGTAAAACAGTGGGTATCTGTCCCCTGAGATGGGAGTAAGACAGAGGGTATCCCAAAAGATTGGAGTAAGACAGAGCGTATCCCCTTAGATGTAAGTAAGATAGAGGATATCCTTTTGAGATGGAAGTAAGGCGGAGGGTACCCCCTGAGATGGGAGTAAGACAGAGAGTATCCCCTGAGATGGTAGAAAGAGAGAGGGTATTTCCTGAGATGGAAGTGAGACAGAGGGTATCCAATGAGATGGGAGTAAGACAGAGGGTATCCCCTGAGATGTGAGTAAGACGGAGGGTATCTCCTGACATTGTAGTAAGAGAGAGGGTATTCTCTGAGATAGGAGTAAGACAGAGGGTATCCCCTGAGATGGAAGTGAGACAGAGGGTATCCAATGAGATGGGAGTCAGACAGAGGGTATCCCCTTAAATGGAAGAAAGGCGGAGGGTATCCCCTGAGATGGTAGTAAGAAAGAGGGTGACCACTAAGATGGGAGTAAGACTAAGGGGTATCCCCAGAAATGGTAGTATGACAGAGGGTATCCCCTGAGATGGGAGTAAGACAAAGGTATGCCCTACGTATGAAGTAAGACAGAGGGTATCGCTGAGATGGAAGTAAAACAGTGGGTATCTGTCCCCTGAGATGGGAGTTAGACAGAGGGTATCCCAAAAGATTTGAGTAAGACAGAGCGTATCCCCTTAGATGTAAGTAAGATAGAGGATATCCTTTTGAGATGGAAGTAAGGCGGAGGGTACCCCCTGAGATGGGAGTAAGACAGAGAGTATCCCCTGAGATGGTAGTTAGAGAGAGGGTATCTCCTGAGATGGGAGTAAGACGGAGTGTATCTCCTGACATTGTAGTAAGAGAGAGGGTATCCTCTGAGATAGGAGTAAGACAGAGGGTATCCCCATGAGGTGGTAGTAAGACTCAGGGTTTTCCCTGAGATGGAAGTGAGACAGAGGGTATCCAATGAGATGGAAGTAAGACAGAGGGTATCCCTTGAGATGGGAGTAAGACGGAGGGTACCCAATGAGATGGGAGTAAGACAGAGGGTATACCCTGAGATGGTAGTAAGACACAGGGTTTTCCCTGAGATGGAAGTGAGACAGAGGGTATCCAATGAGATGGGAGTAAGACAGAGGGTATCCCCTGATATGGTAGTAAGACACAGGTACCCCTTGAGATGGGAGTCAGACAGAGGGTATACCCTGAGATAAGAGTAAGAGAGAAGGTATCGCCTGAGATGGTAGTAAGAAAGAGGGTGACCCCTGAGATGGGAGTAAGACTGAGGGTATCCCCAGAGATGGTAGTAAGACAGAGGATATCCCCTGAGATGGGAGTAAGACAAAGGTATACCCTACGTATGAAGTAGGACAGACGGTATTCCTTGAGATGGAAGTAAAACAGTGGGTATCTGTCCCCTGAGATGGGAGTAAGACAGAGGGTATCCCAAAAGATTGGAGTAAGACAGAGCGTATCCCCTTAGATGTAAGTAAAATAGAGGATATCCTTTTGAGATGTAAGTAAGGGGAAGGGTAACCCCTGAGATGGGAGTAAGACAGAGAGTATCCCCTGAGATGGTAGTTAGAGAGAGGGTATTTCCTGATATGGAAGTGAGACAGAGGGTATCCATTGAGATGGGAGTAAGACAGAGGGTATCCCCTGAGATGGGAGTAAGACACAGGGTACCCCTAGAGATGGGAATCAGACAGTGGGTATCCCTTTAAATGGAAGTAACGCGGAGGGTATCCCCCGAGATGGTAGTAAGAAAGAGGGTGACCACTAAGATGGGAGTAAGACTAAGGGGTATCCCCAGAGTTGGTAGTAAGACAGAGGGTATCCCCTGAGATGGGAGTAAGACAAAGGTATACCCTACGTATGAAGTAGGACAGAGGGTATCCCTAAGATGGAAGTAAAACAGTGGGTATCTGTCCCCTGAGATGGGAGTAAGACAGAGGGTATCCCAAAAGATTGGAGTAAGACAGAGCGTATCCCCTTAGATGTAAGTAAGATAGAGGATATCCTTTTGAGATGGAAGTAAGGCGGAGGGTACCCCCTGAGATGGGAGTAAGACAGAGAGTATCCCCTGAGATGGTAGTAAGACACACGGTATTCCCTGAGATAGAAGTAAGACAGAGGGTATCCAATGAGATGGGAGTTAGGCAGAGGGTATCCCCTGAAATGGGAGTTAGGGAGAGGTTATCCTCAGAGATGAGAGTAAGACAGAGGGTATTCCCTGAGATGGGTGTAGACAGAGGGTATTCCCTGAGATGGGAGAAAGACAGAGGGTATCCCCTGATATTAAAGTAAGACAGAGGGTATCTTCTGAGATGGGAATAAGACAGAGGGTATCTTCTGAGATGGGAATAAGACAGAGGGTATCCCTTTAGATTGGAGTAAGACAGAGGTTATCCCAAAAGAAGGGAGTAAGACAGAGGTTATCCCCTCTCATGGGAATAAGACAGAGGGTTTTCCCTGAGATGGAAGCAAAACAGAGGGTATTCCCTCAGATGGAAGTGAGACAGAGGGTATCCCCTGAGATGTGAGTAAGACAGAGGGTATCCCTGAGATGGGTGTAGGACAGAGGGTATCTTCTGAGATGGGAGTAAGACAGAGGGTATTCGCTGAGATAGAAGTAAAACAGAGGTTATCTATCCCCTGAGATGGGAGTAAGACAAAGGATATCCCCAGAGATTGGAGTAAGACGGAGGGTATCCCCAGAGATGGTAGTAAGACAGAGGGTATCCCCTGAGATGGGAGTAAGACAAACTATCCCCTACGTATGTAGTAAGACAGAGGGTATTCCCTGAGATGGAAGTGAAACAGAGGTTATTCATTGAGATGGGAATAAGACAGATGGTATCCCCTGAGATCGGAGTAAGACGGAGGGTATCCCATGAGATGGGAGTAAGACGGAGGGTATCCCCTGAGATGGGAGTTAGGGAGAGGGTATTCCCTGAGATGGTAGTAACACAGAGGTTATCCCCTCAGACGGGAGTAAGACGAAGGGTATCCCCAGAGATGGGAGTAAGACAGAGGGTATCCCAAGAGAGGAAGGTATGATATAGGGTATCCCCAGAAAGGAATTTTAAACAGAGGGTGTCCACAAAGAGGAAGGTAAGAGAGAGGGTATCCCCAGAGAGGAAGGTATGACAGAGGGTATACCCAGAGAGGAAGGTGAGACGGAGGGTATCCCCTGAGAGGAAGGTAAGACAGAGGGTATCCCCAGAGAGGAAGGTAAGACAGAGAGTATCCCCAGAGTGGAAGGTAAGACAGACGGTATCCCCAGGGAGGAAGGTAAAACAGAGGGTATCCCCAGAGAGGAAGACAAGGCAGACGGTATCTCCAGAGAGGAAGGTAAAACAGAGGGTATCCCCAGGGAGGAAGGTAAAACAGAGGGTATCCCAAGAGAGGAAGGTGAGACAGAGGGTATCCCCAGAGAGGAAGGTAAGACAGAGGGTATCCCCAGAGAGGAAGGTAAGACAGAAGGTATCCCCAGAGAGGAAGGTGAGACAGGGGGTATCCCCAGAGAGGAAGGTGAGACAGAGGGTATCCCCAGAGAGGAAGGTAAGACAGAAGGTACCCCCATAGAGGAAGGTAAGACAGAAGGTTTCCCCAGAGAGGAAGGTAAGACAGAGGGTATCCCCAGAGAGGAAGGTAAGACAGAGGGTATCCACAGAGAGGAAGGTAAGACAGAAGGTATCCCCAGAGAGGAAGGTAAGACAGAGGGTATCCCCAGAGAGGAAAGTTAGACAGAGGGTATCCCAAGAGAGGAAGGTAAGACAGAGGGTATCCCCAGAGAGGAAGGTAAGACAGAGGGTATCCCCAGAGAGGAAGGTAAGACAGAGGGTATCCCCAGAGAGGAAGGTCAGACAGAGGGTATCCCCAGAGAGGAAGGTAAGACAGAGGGTATCCCCAGAGAGGAAGGTAAGACAGAGGGTATCCCCAGAGAGGAAGGTCAGACAGAGGGTATCCCCAGAGAGGAAGGTAAGAGAGAGGGTATCCACAGAGAGGAAGGTAAGACAGAAGGTATCCCCAGAGAGGAAGGTAAGACAGAGGGTATCCCCAGAGAGGAAAGTTAGACAGAGGGTATCCCAAGAGAGGAAGGTAAGACAGAGGGTATCCCCAGAGAGGAAGGTAAGACAGAGGGTATCCCCAGAGAGGAAGGTAAGACAGAGGGTATCCCCAGAGAGGAAGGTCAGACAGAGGGTATCCCCAGAGAGGAAGGTAAGACAGAGGGTATCCCCAGAGAGGAAGGTAAGACAGACGGTATTAGCGGCGATAGTATTAAGAGAAGGAAGTAAGATGGAGTCTTTCCACGGGGTTTAAAGTAAGTCAAGTGAAAGGATATCCCGAAAATTGCAGTTTGGAGGGACTTCAATCTCATAATATTCACATCTTTTACTCCGACGCCATACATTTTCGCGTGAAGTTGGCCACCACCACGGGGCCACCTTTTACTCACTGTCAAAGCTTCTAAATCGGAACCACATGAAAACAAAGTAGCACCGCCCTAATATATTGTTGTATATATTTTATAAATTCCGTCGTTTGAGGGTATTGGCATGTACACCTCAACGGGTGTATTATGAAGAGTATATCTGGGTTTTGTGTGGGTTTTCATTTGCTAAGATGAACATTTCCGAATCGAGGTGTTTAAAACAGAATCATTTAGAAAGCCGGCGGGTGATTGGCTCAATAATCCACAATCCGTCGTTTACATTGGATTGTCAAAGTTTGCTCAGGGTTCTCATATGATGTGATCTCCTTTGGAGTGAGTGAGTGAGTTTGGTTTTACACCGCTTTTAGCAATATTCCAACAATATCACGGCGGGGGACACCAGAATGGGCTTCACACATTGTACCCATGTGGGGAATCGAACCCGGGCCTTCGGCGTGACGAGCGAACGCTTTAACGACTAGGCTACCCCATCCCCCGATCTCCTTTGGAAATGTGATTAGATTTACATGTGTAGTATCTGAGTACAATATCTGATTTTAAAACGGTACACCATAATCCACACACGATAAACATGATGTTTTCTTTATTTCTTCTTCAGATGACGGCTGTCTTAGTTTGTGTTATACATCCAAAAGGATCTTCCGTGGAAGCAATGTTACAATTCGTCATTGGTCAGATTACTCTTTGGGTTTCAATGGTATGAGATTAGAATACACCGTAGGTAAATATCTTCTTTATTATCTTATTCAACCCCTCCTTTTTCAAAAGTAAACATAGTATATGATTAAAATTACCTTTCATATCTTCCAAACTGTTAGATCTGTTTTAGATTTATTGCTTAATGTAATCATTAAAAATGCAAAATGAATTACTTGTTATATGAATAAAATAAAAGGCCAAAGTTCATAATCAATGGCAGGCCCTATCATTAAACACTATTACAACTGATCAAATCAAAATGTTATTGTTCTTGTGTTTATACTTGGCGTGGCACATTTCCGCCAAACCCAGCACATAAAAATTGGAGAATATGTGGCATAATCAGCGAAATTTGTGTCTTCAAATATGCAAACATGACGACGTTGTCGTTATTTCGTCATTGTGGTCATTAAAATCCATGTATTATGCATATGATTTCGTGACAATAGCGAAGTGACACGAAATATTAACGCACATGTCGCTGCTAAAAAAGGTTTTATCCCATTTGTCAAACATGCCAACAAGGAAAATATATTTATTAAAAATATATATATACTCTTCAAAATAAGAAACACAAAGCCAAGTTTGTGTGAGGTAGCCAAAATGTTGTGGAGAGAACATTTGGTCATTGTAGTCCTCTCAGTTATCAGTACATAGGAAAAGTCCAAGGTGAAGGTCAGCTACCATCAATAACGCGTATTTCCCCTGTTGGAATTGATAGCGGCCTGACATCTCCTGCCCATGGAAGAGACGAGTATGCGAATCACATCCTTGGGTATGTGATTCGGTAGCCCACACTCTGCCTGCAACGCAAAAGCCAACTGCTGCAACGTCTGGGGTTGTGGTTGACGTCGGCGTAGCCGTCTATCCAATTCATCCCACAGGTGCTCTATCGGTTTCAAATCTGGGGTTCTGGAGGGCCAGGGGAGAACATCAATGTTGGTGTTGTGTAGACAGGATCTTGTGATCCGTGATGTCCTCTTGGAATACACCTTTGCCGTTGGCTGCAATTAGCAGGACGTATGGTAGGAGAATTTCGTTGATTAATCGTTGAGCCGTAAGATTGCCCTGGATATGTACCAAAAATGTCCTGCCATGATGAGAGATAGCCGCCCACATCATAATGCTACCCCCACCAATCATGTCCACTTCATGTACGCAGTTTACGGCGTAACGCTCTCCCCGACGTCTGTAGACCTGTGCTCTTCCATTCCCTCGACGGGGGAGAAATCTCGATTCGTCGCTGAACCAGACATCTCTCCATCGCAGTTAACCACCAATGCAGTCGTTGTTGGCGATGTTGTCGACTCAATATGGCGCATCGAACAGAACGTCTTGCTCGTAGACCTGCTGCTCTTAAATGGTTTCGCACGGTCTGGAGAATCTGTGCAGTCCGGGTATTCTGATGCGGTTGAAGTGGCTGTGGTCGTCTTTCGAGTATGTGGCGCAGTCGGATGTAGCGATCTTAGGCGGGGGTGGTTGCTCTTGGGCTTCCCGAACTTGGCCGATCACGTGTTGACCCATGTTGTTGAAACCAGTCCTATAGCCTTGTGATGGTGCTGGGTGCTACATTGAAAACACTGGCTTCAGCTGATCGGGATTCCCCTGCTAGCAAGCGGCCTTTGACGCTGTTTCTTTGCACTTCTGTTAATCTTGGCATGTTGTTGAGCTGTCACTGTTTGATTGACGCAGATGCCAGGCAATAAAAAACCCTGCATTTTAATGCCGTTCATAGTACTGCTGCACGTGCAGCTCCATGGCCCTTTTTTTTACTGCACTGGGTGCGTTTTTCCGAATCGTACGTGTTTCCCGACTAATGGTTTGCATGTCCTGGTTGTGATTTTTTTGATCCGGGAAATTTGTCACTGACACTATAACACATTAAACCTTTTCATTTTGCACATCTTGGTCCGTAAATTTTGCGTTTATGGCCAACAATATCGGTTTTGTGTTTCTATTTTTGAAGAGTATAATATAATATAATTCTGATTGGCTTGTGCCGTTCCGACGCACGGCGGCCTTCGAAAGAGGGACGTGTCGTCTTGTAGGTTACGGATACTCTCTCACCACATGTCTATTCCCGTTTCTCGTTTGCACAAAACATATGTCCTTGTTACGTTGTAGCGTTAAAAGCTAACGTATTAGAACACTTAGAACATATACCTCGTATGGTGGAGTAATCCAGTTATATCACGGCGTGTCAGCTTAATGTGGGAGGAAAGCCAAAAGTGATGCGGGTGCCAGACGTTTACCACGGGTATGGTGTATGGTGTAGCACGGGTATGGTGCTGAGAAACCTAGAAAGATAATCGGGGCGATTCGGGATTCGAACCCACAATCATAGGTTTCTGGCGTGCCGAAGGGACGCAACTCTGCAGAGCGAATCGCGACGCCTTACACGAATGGGCCACCCGTGCCTCCTATGATAAAGTAAACCAAACCTCACTCACTCAAACGAAGAGGTCTTCTGCCTGGGTCACGACGGCGATGGTCATCACATGACGATGTAAAACAGTCGAACCGAGGCTTGTTCGACTCCCGTCCGACCTCGGCGCGTTGTGCGTGTTTTGGTCGTTACCAGGTGAGTTAAAATTAGGTTTAACGTCGCGTCAAAGATTATTGCACTCATTAAGCGACGTGCATGCACGTGCGCGTGCGTTTGGGGCTGCTTGTACTTGTCCAGACTGATGCCGATTTATAGTGCTAACTCACTGAGATACCATGCCGCAGTTTAACATGAATACACCACTCAGACACAGTGTACTGACTCCGAGCCGACCAGACCTTGTTAATGCCGAGCGCCAGACAGGGTAAAAAGAAGAACCATCTTTTAACATCATTTGGAATGACGCGGCCGGGGATCGAACCCCGGACCTTCCGCTCTCCGGGAGGGTGCTCTACCACTACACCACAGAGGGGGTCTGGTCGTTACGAAGAATAATGACGAAGAATAACGACCCCCGAAGCAATGGGCATAGTGAATCCTAGTGGTATAATTTACGTTGTTCTTACTAATATTCCAGCTTTATGACGACGGTGTGAAGTAATCGAGTCTGGACCAGACAATCCAATATTTGCCATAATGGGCATGAAAACAAACGCAACTGGGATACGACGACATACATCAATCAATTCAGCGAACATGCCCAACTGATCCAATTAGTTCCCTTTACAACAGGCATTGATTGCTGAAGAAAACTTCTAACCCGGCTATTCACGGGAGAGGGAAGATGAAATGGGGTTTCAGGTCGCGTTTCAGATTATTGGACTTATATAGCAAAGTGTTTGCGTGTGGCGGCTTTCATTAGTCCGGATTTCAGTCGGTTTTATAGTGCAGGCCCTCTGAGATATGGTGCTGTTGACCAGTCCTTGTTCTCGTCGAGCGCCAGGCAGGGTCACAACAAGCACCATCATTTAACATATTTTGGTATCATGCCGCACTCAACAATATTCCAGCTATATGAGGGCGGTCTGTAAATATTCGACCCCACCTCCACCCCTACCAAACAAACAAAGAGGTAATGTCCTTGTGTGGATCAAGCCTTTATTTCATGTACTTATATTGGACGTCAGTTTCAGATTTTACTGACTGGACTCCGTGGAAGAGCAACGCCTGTTACCGTGACTGTACCACCAAACAACGCCTGGTCGACGACACTAGAACAAGGGCTTGCCTCAAGGACAGCTGCATGGGCGAGACGAACCAGAAACGAACCCGGGTCTGCAGAACCACGTGTAAGGATTGCGTCCTCGGGAATTAGGTAAAGTTTGTGAACAATACAATATTTGGTTAGAGACAGGATATGTTTAGGACTAATGCATGTAGGAAGAGCAGAACAGTGGGTATTTTACACAACACAAGTTGTCACAGGATATCCAGCATGTTTCGCGAGGACATATGTTCTTTGAACAAACACGGGAACACATGACACACCAACCAAAGTTTTAACACCATTTTGATCACTGATGTGGCAAAGTTTGAAGTGTCCTACACTTGCCTAACACAACACTTCCTGAAAGCGCCACCAATGCTGTAACCCGTATCAAACAACTTCTGATAAAGAGTCTCATGACACTGTTTGAAATCGTCGTAGAAAGAACACATTCAATTGCACCGCTAAGGTGAAATCACACCAGATGCTGGCGCTGATCGTCACAAAGAAAACGCTGGCTTTTTGAAATTTGAAATAAAAACTCTGGTCATGGTCTTGTGTATACATGCTTCTGAATACTTTACATGTATTGTCATTCTAAATCTTAATGCATAAATCTCGAATGCACAGAAGACATCATATGTAAAAAGAAAATCATGTTATTTTCTTTCTGTACTAAAGTCTCTTCTAAATGTCTTTATAAACCTCAAGTGACGGCATGCCTTTCTTGTCGGGCCGGGTTATACCTCTTAAAAGTAAAACCCCGGAAATCATGTTCATTAGAATGAGCTTCAATATGTGTACAGATTATGGAGGTATTAACGTGTAAGCCGGTGTGCATAACATGTAAATTCGCGTTGAGGATTTACGCAAAGCCTGTACGCCCGTTTATAACTACGTAGCCGAAGTGAATACGTCAACAAAAATAACTTCACAGCATATTTTCACCAGGAACAAACACAAACTGTAAACAATAATTATCATTAGCAGCAAGTGATCAAATATGTAACTGTTTTTGTTTTTCTAACTTATCAGACATTAATATGTGCAACAGCATCGGAACAGATTCTACGTTTCTGAGAGCAATAGGCGAGAGGCGTTGTATCAATCAGATCAGTCTTCTTAGTGTGGTACTTGTTGATCTCTGGATTTTTTAACGATTTTTATTGAATCTTATGAAAAAATATTTTTGTCTGTTTTGAATAATGGAAGACGCCCTTTCATGTTTTACAGTTCCGGTCTGACAGAATACAAAGAATAATATTCTGTAAATGGATTCAAGATATGGTTGCGCATTCATCACTGACTAGAGAGGGATTCACAAAGCTGAAAATGTTTCGGTGCAAATACTGATATTTGAAAGTATTTCTAGGGGAAAATCAACACGGTATCTGCTTATATTATTTGAAGACATGTCTATCTTGGAGGGCCAACAACTTTTTGCATTTTGTTTTCTTTTAAATTGCTTTTGGGAGTTACAAAGAAATAAATCAAATGGTATACGTCTCCTGGCCTTCTTGGATTTGCTGTTGTGGACAAGTGAGCTAATATTAGTTATTCTGTCATAAAAGAATGTTTGGGGTATCACGGGGCATCAAATGGTATCTAGTGGTTTAGTGTCCGCCTGGAGAGCGGAAGTCGCGGGTTTGATCCCCGGTCACGTCATACCAAAAGACGTTAAAAGATGGTACTTGATGTTACCCTGTCTGGCGCTCGGCATTAAGGGGCTAAACAGGGGCCATCTTCCCGAGGCAAGAGAGTAAACTGACTTTAAACGTCCAGTTCCCATCCTTGCCGAACTAGGCTGGAATTCGGGGGCTCGATCGTAGCGCCACCAGTGGCTATCACGAGTTATGTCCCTTCTAAGCGTCTGCTATGGGCCAATCAGATTCCATCTCTCGTATCAGCAGCGCCCAGTCAAGACGATCTGATCGATATTCAAGATCTATATAGTGATAAAACGGGTCTTACATCGCGAAGTGAATCAAATCAAGTGAGCACCTTGATTAAAAACATGAAAAGATTAGGAAAATATCTGTTGACAACGAGTTGGCGGTGCACATGCTTTGCAAATCCTGCAATCGACCGAAATCTGCATGCCAGTTTACGAACCGGATTTCGATTTCGGTGCGCGATTTTGATTGGACTATGAATAGACACGTTAGTCCAGCCAAAATGTAACTCCATAATACCAGGCTTGTTCGGCATGGGTGGAAACTGGTCTTTTGTAGTCAGTAACCTCTCTTTCCCCGGGAAGATGAACAAGGTCCGACCGACTCGGAGTCATTATGCTGTGTCTGAGTGAGGTATTCTTGTTAAACTGCGGCATGGTATCTCAGTGGGATAGTACTATAAAATCGGCATTGGTCCGGACTAGTACAAACAACCACATACACACAAGTACAATTATCATGAACGAGACGGTAAACCCCATTTTACCTCACCTCACACAAAAAAGGCGAGTGTATGGATACATTCATAGCCTACATCATACATACACTAATGACTACAGATAACCCATCACAACTATATATACATTGTCGGGTGGTTTTGGGGAGGATTTTGATGTCCTGGACCTTAAACCTGACTGGTTTGTGATGAGATGGCAACTAGTTTGTTAGTTTGTCTTGTCTGGGGATGAACATTTATAGACAACTTGGGCTGGCCCAACGACTCACTGTGAAGCCAGAGGAATTCGTTATTGATCAGTGAATACAAAAAAGTACCCTCTGCATGTTAGTAGAGAAAAGTAACTCGCCATCTTGCCCCTTTGTTTACATCGACGAAATATACCGCCGAAAATCCAGCCAAGGTAGGTAAGGGTGGAACTTGGACGGCTATAGTCAGTTCACACAATTGATTCGGGAAGATGAAGTAGGTCAGCCAATCAGGTTGGCCCGCGGCTAATTCCGCTCGCCTTTCGTGACTTTTTTTCGAACTCAAATGTGTGTTTGACAACAAGTGTAGCATGTACAATATGCGGGAGGATGAGGAGTGACGGAGTGCATATTTTGTTCGGGCACTGACCATTATTGAGTTCCTGTTGGAAAGGTGCCTCAGGGTCTACGAGAAACAGATTGATTTACTGAGTGCGTGAAACAGAAGTAGCTAACAACACTGTCAATTGTTATGTGTTCTTACATGCGATTCCAAACCTATGAGTAGTGATGTTGATTTTTTCTCACTGAAGCAGTAGCGTGAATTCTCCTTCACCTGGTGATTTTGTTTGGAAACCCATTACATGAGAGACATGAACAGTTCTGTAAACATTACTGACTAACTGAGACATCAGATATTTTGTTAAAGCCTCGAATATTTTAATAATCAACAGAAACCCCCTATCCAGCAGGTGATATGTTTTAAACAAAAAACAATAGACTACAAAACGCAAATTGCTTCGCAGATTATTTGAATTCATTTTGCACTCTCCCTTCCCCAAAAACTGTATCCGTGATTTCTTGGCGCCTGTAATTGTTTGCACCAATTTATAGAACCGTTCGAAGTACCTCTTTAAATGTTAAAGAGAGTGAGTGTGTGAGTGAGTTCGTCATAGTTTGGTTTAACACTGCTTTGGAAGTAGCGATTGCAGATATATATCAACTCCATGTGTGAGAAAGGTTCATAATAATGCAGGATTCAGACGTTTACCCATGGTATGGCTGAAATATTGCTGCGTGCGGCGTTAAACAACAAACAAGCAAACAAATTCTGACGTTTACCACTTTTGTTTAAAACCATAATCACGATGTTATGATTCGGAAACCAGTTTGTTATAAGTCGGATCAATTTGTAGTCCTGAACCATTCGTCAGATAAAATCCGATGACATATAAGAGATAACGTCAGTGTTTTGAGGTTCTACCATGATGACAACTACACATGATATACAGGTCAGCGATCTCAGAACGTTCCGAAAAGGAGTCACAGATCTTGATAGGTGTAACACATTTTACTCAAGCTTAAGATTAATTACTTATATTCCTGCCTGGTTAAAAAAATGTTGTTAAATAACCCTTTTCACTCTTTTAATAACACTTCTTTCTATGTTTACACAAATAGATACATATTTATATACTCAACAACAAAAGCTCCTTTGACACCAATATTTTAGTTTATTTTTCAAACAAGTAAAGTTTGGTTTTCAGTGTTGTAGGACATGTATGGAATCAAGTCACAAAAACGCAACTGCTACAGAAAAACATGCATTCCATGCAAAAGTTTACTTTTATGCAAGTCCCATGCACTTCACTACCCAAGAATGGGTATAAAAACATGTGCGTTCACGGGATTCCATATGCATTGTTTAGCATCGTGCTGACAACAACCACTCAGAAAAACAACAAAATTACGCAATTATTCAACAATATGAAATGCCACGCCTGTCCGAAAATGAGCGTCTGCGAGCCATTGGTATGCTTGAAGCAGAATCGAGTCATAGTGATTTTGCAAGACAATTTAACGTCAACAGAAACACCATTTGGTGTTTATGGCAACGTTGGCAACAGAGGAATGCAGCCAGAGACCATCCTCGGAGTGGTAGGCCACGCGTAACCAATATTCGACAAGACAACTGGATTCGAACAACACACCTACGAAATCGATTCCAGTCAGCAACAGTGACTGCAAGAAGCATCCCTGGCCTTCGACGAATATCTTCACAAACCGTACGTCGCCGCCTCAGATGTGCAGGGATTGTCGCCAGAAGACCAACCAGACGTCCCATTTTGACAGGAAACCACCGTCAAGCACGTCTACAGTGTGAACGATTATTTTATAAGTTCACCAGATTTTTTTCAGTTTATCAATATGTTCACTGTCGCTGATCGATCTGATTCTGATCACTTTCCATTAGAATTGATGTGTAGATTTCCAAATATGGGTAAGAGGTGCAATAATGATTCATGTATGGATCCACAAGCATCAGAGAAAATTGTATGGAATGATCATTACTCCAGTTTGTTTCTTGATAACCTGAGATATAATTTTACTGAAAACAAAGAAATGGTCCTTAAAGAAATTGATAATGCTATTGAAAACGCAATTAGCCACTTTGTCGACATTGTATTAGACTCTGCTAACTGCATGAAAAAGACAATACGACATAATCCACAATTTGCCAATCACAAACCACTAAGTCTAGAATGTAGACAAGCGAAACGAGAAACACGTAGGGCACTTAGGAGATTTAGAACACAAAGAAAAGTCGCTAACAGAATTGTGTACTGTAGACAAAGAAATCATTATAAATTTTGTTGCAGAAAATTTAAATCCATTTCACGTAAGAAATCAGTTGAAAGATTGCATAGAAGCATAAATAGTCAATCTAGCTTTTGGAAACAGATAAGATCATTACAAAACAAACCCAGACAGAAGAATCATATAACGAAAGCAGAATGGCTGTGCCATTTTAGAGAGGTTTTTGCAAATGACAATGTTTTTTCTCCTCACTTAGATGATGAAAATGAACTCAGTTCTAATCAGTTTACAGATATTGATGCATTCATACTAAATTCTACGATAACTGAACATGAAATTACATCATCAATAAATAAGTTAAAAAAAGGAAAATCCGCCGGGCCCGATCAAGTGCTGATAGAAATGCTTAAATGTTCCCAATTAGATATTATGCCATTTCTTCATAAATGTTTCAACAAACTCTTTGATAATCAAATATTTCCAAACAGTTGGTCTTGTTCAGAAATAGTCCCTCTACATAAAAAAGGCGATCCGAGAAACCCTGACAACTACAGGGGGATCTCATTAATGAGTGTTCTGGGGAAAATTTTTACCTCTGTTTTGAATAACAGGCTTACTAACTGGGCAAATATGAGAGATAAGATACCGGAAGTTCAAGCTGGTTTTAGAAAAAATTATTCAACCGTAGATCATATTTTTACATTATATGCTGCAATTCAAAAATGTCTAACACGTCGTAAACACAAGGTTTACGTTGCTTTTATTGATTTTAAAAAGGCATTTGATACAGTTGATCGTTATAAATTATGGTGTTGTTTAAGAAAAGCTGGACTACAAGGGAAGATGTTTAATATAATACAATCAATGTATTCAAATATCAAGTCATGTGTACGTAGTGATTATGGTGTTACTGATTTTATCGATTGCCCATCTGGTTTACGTCAGGGATGTATACTGAGTCCTCTGTTATTTTCGTTTTTCATAAGCGAATTATATTATGAAATCTCATGTAACGGCAAGCATGGTATACAGATGTATCCTGACATCCTTGAACTTCTTATGCTCCTTTTTGCCGATGATGTTATTTTACTATCTGACACTGTTATTGGTCTACAGAATCAGTTGAATGTATTAGATAAATATACTAAGGAATGGAATTTATCTGTAAATTTAGATAAGACAGAAATTATAGTATTCAGAAAAGGGGGTCCTTTAAACTTTAGGGAAAGATGGTACTTAAATGGACAACAAATTAATGTAGTTAATGGTTATAA